GGGGGAGATGGGACAGGACCCGAGTCCACTGTTGAAGCATCTCCCTGCTCTCCCTGCTGCTGATGACATGTGGTCCCCGCTCCTTGTGGCCTGTCCTTGTCCTGAACCCCCTGGTCTGAGCCTGTCCCACCCCCACCCGCCCACAGGAACAAAATCCTGGTGATCGCCATCGTGTTCCAGGTTTGCATCGGCTGCTTCCTCTGCTACTGCCCCGGAATGCCCAACATCTTCAACTTCATGCCCATCCGGTGAGGGGCCGGGAGCTGCGAGTAGGGGGATGGGCACAGGGACATAGACTTGAGCGTAGCCTTCACCTTGTCATCTCGCCTGGGCCTTCAGGTACCAGTGGTGGCTGGTCCCCATGCCCTTTGGCCTCCTCATCTTCGTCTATGATGAGCTTCGGAAACTGGGAGTTCGCTGTTGCCCAGGGAGTGAGTGTGGAGACCAAGGGCCTGGGGCTGGGTGTGCTGGGAGAGCCTCAGAACAGCTGCCCTTGACCTTTGACCTCCAAGCCCTTGACCCTCCATTGATCCATACCTCTGAGCCCTTGGTGCCTGTGACCCATGTCTCGCAGCCCTGAGTCTCCTCTCTCTCTCTCTCCCAGGCTGGTGGGATCAGGAGCTGTACTATTAGAGGGACTGCTGCGTTCAAGCCATCCTTGCGCCCCTGACAGCAGAGGTGGGGGGCATGGACCCTCGGGGCAGCCACGTGAACATCTAAGCGACCAAGAGCCCCAGCACCACCTGTGTCTGCTCCCGCGGCCCACGGCACCCCAACCTTGGAGAGACCGTCCCATTCCCCTTCCCCATCCACAGAGAGCACCCCGCACCACCTGGCAGAGCCGTCCCTGGGCCCAGTGCTCTGGGTGGGTGGGCAGAGGGTGGGAGCTCCCTGCCTGGGGCTCTTCACACACACACACTTGTGTTGCGTCGTAGTAATAAACCTGCTCACACCAATCAGGCTTTCATTTGGTGCCAGCGCCTGTCCAAGTGTCTTTCCTGATCCCCTTTCAACTCCCACAGTCCTCCAGCTCAGAAGCTGTTTGCTCAGGGCTGTAGCTCAGTTCCTAAACACAGCCTCGTGCAGAGTAGGGACGCTTGGCACCTTCCTTGGGGGAATGAATTCCTGTTCCTTTGCCTGGGGTGACAGTGTTCACAGCGAGCTCACAAGCCACCTCAATCTTATTCCAGCCAATTCTTGTTTCACTGGAAAAGCCAGGCCTGCTCTCTGACCTCAAGGCCTTTACACAGGATTCGCTACAAGGATTTTCCTCCTGCCCCAAAAGCTTATCCTTTAGGTCTCAGCTCCCATCTCCTTTTCCAGGGAACTCCTCCTGCCCCCAGCCCAGCCCTGGTATGGCCTTTGCTCCCCTCACTTCAGCCCCGGCCGCTCTGGTCTCTCCAAGCCCCACATAAGCTGGGATTATTGCGCACAGTTAGCCACCAACAGGGGCTCCGAATCAGAGTCCCTGCTCAGCAAAGAGTTGAAGTCATTTCTGCAACCTTCACTTGTCCCCATACTGGTCCGAGGCTAGGCAGGGGATGGGAGGGAGGTGTGGGAGCGCAGTCCTATCACAGGCCCACCCCACTGGGCTGGGGGAGTGCCCATATTCTCCATGACCGTTCAATTGCTCGCCTCCCCACCCCGGACACCTGTGGACCACTTCTCTGGGACACAAGGATAAGGGTGCAGGGCTAGGTGGTGGCTGCCCCACCTGAGGGCAAATACTCCCTCTGAACACACCAAGACTCACAGCACAGCTGTGCTCTGTGCCTTCCCAGCCCGGGGTTAAGCAACAGTGTGGCAGGACCTGACAGCCAGAGGGACGGAGGGAGCAGGCACTTGCCCTATTGCATGTGACTTGGGAGATCCATCGGGCTGGAGAGCTCCTTCCTGGGTGGGCATAAACATGACATTCAAAGCCCTGCTTCTGACCCGTGTCCCTCAGGGAGGGGGAGGGAATGGGGCAGGCAGCTGGCTCCACTAGGGAAAGGCTGGGGTGATACTGGAGCTGGAGAGCCTGTGAACGTGACAGGTTGACCTGTGAGCTGGGAGGCTCCTCACCCCCTCAGTCCTGGGAATGTGCATTCTCAACTGCCCCTCCCTGATGCTGGACATGGCCTTGAGATAGCGATGCGGTACTAGATGGTGTGTGTGACTGAACCCAGTTAAGGCCCCAATCTAAACTTTTAAAATTTGGAAGGTGGGTGCAGAGATCTAGGTGTCTTGCAACCCAAAGAAAAGCCTTGAAAAGTTCCCTTGCTTCTTAAACCCGCCACCTACCAACCTGGAGTGGCCACCTTTCTCCTCTCTGCCCTCTGCCTAATGGGGGCAGTTTCTGATCGCACCTGAGAAGCTCCCAAAGAGTTTGTGAAACAAGAGGTAGGGAGGGCAACATCTGGGACAATATCCAAGTTGGTGGGCTCAGCTACCGTGCTAGTGGGCTGCAGTGGTGTCTATACCCCACCCTGAGGAGACTCCCGCCAGGACTGGATGGGAGGGCTACAGACCCAAAGCAGGGAAGAGCTCGGAATCATGGATGTCTGCTCTCAAGAGCAAACCCGAGTGTGCAGGTGGCTGGACTGTTCAGTGTGCAATGGGGAGTCTCAGATGGTTGTAGACAAGGAGGGTCACTAATAAAACTGGGATTTCAGACAGATCTCTTTGGCTGCCATATGAAGGGTGGATCAGAAGAGGAGAGCAGGACTGAGAGCCCCGGAGGAAAGCAGCCAGGGAAGGGCCACATTAAGGCTGACAGGAAAAACCTCCAAGAACTGTATTCCTGGATTCTGGCTCCCTTCTATCACCTGTTGCCCCAGGGCCCTGGTCTCTGCAGCTGCTCAAAGATGATCTCTCTACTCTAAGCCCTTCTATCCTGGGAAAACAAGGAGCTGGGGAACCGCTGCAGAACACAGAACAAGCTAGTGTTGGCCAGTTTCCAGCCTGTCTACTGGGCATCAAAGCCAGAACAAGGACCTCTAGAACCCAATGAGCGTGGTACTGGTAGACCATTCTAGAGACAGAGATGAAGGCAGAAACAACGTTCCAAATACTGTTTACTTCACTGAAACCTGGAGGCAGAGAAAGGGTATGTGAATGCCTGGGGCACCAAGCCTAGGAGTGCACGTTGACAACGGCGACATAGAGGGCCAGGGTGCTGAGGGCCAGCAGCCCCGTCACTACTGCCCGGGCCAGCAGTGCTGTCCAGCTGCCCAGGGAACAGAGGTGGACGAAGGTCCTGTGGGGAAACATCATCATGAGAGGAGAACAGATAATCCACCCCCACTGGGACCCAACCTCAAACCCCATGCAGCTCACTCCATGACAAAGGCCTTGTAGACGCTAAGGAACATCAGTAGGAGTACCGCGGGCCGAAAAGTGTGGTAGAGGTCATAGCGTGTTATCATCCAGACCTGGGCAGATGCGACGATATAATGGACCTGCAGGGAGGCAGGAAGTCAGGGCCAGGCCTCGAGGGAGGGCACAGCCACTGGCAAGGAGGTGTGTGGGAGAGCGAGACTTCGTACCAGACTGATGTTGGAGTCAATGCTCATCTGGATATACTTCCAATCAAACTCAATGCCCCGGGCTCCAACCCAGAGGGGGATGCAGCTGAGGAAGGCAAAGGGAAGGATTCTCCAGCATCCAAACACCCTCAGCACTCAGAATCTGAGCCCCCGCCCTCCAGCACCTCCCTAGAACCCAGGTGTCTTTTCTCAGGATTCTGGGCTCCAGGCTGCTGCACACACCGGGACATAATGAGCTCGGCGGTGGCCCAGCCCAGGGCAGCAACCATGATCTTGTACTCCCCCTTGCCTGCATTCCGGGACATGACAAGGTTTAGGCCTATCAGGTCTGCCACATCCACGCTGGCCTTCATGAACTCCTGTGGGTCAGATTGAGGTTTGAGTGAGCACAGGTGCCAGGGGGCCCCACTCCTGCACTCCCTCCCCCTCCCTTGCCCCACTCACCCCAATGAAGTCATAGATGCCGCCTTCCCAGGTGGGGAAAAAAGTGGCCAGGAACAGCATCTGAGGACAGCAAACAGAGAGATCACTGCAGGGGAAGAGAATAAACCAAGTGGAATACGTAGGAAATCAGTGTGGATGTGGAGGGTAAGACTCTGAGATTTAGGGGACCCTTGTGGAGAGAGACCACCAGAAGGGGGACGAGATTACAGGATCAGGGGAGACAGAGGATAGGGGTCTCAAGTTTGGGTTTTGTGGTGATCCCAGGCCATCGGGTAAGGCATGCAGGTGCCAGGGCTAGCTACCCCAGCAGTGTTAGCAGCACCGAGTGGACCCTGGGGTTCCTTCGCGCTCCCTAAAAGTACAAAACGCTCCACCACACAACTGAGTTTTCTCCATTTTACTAAGGTGCTATACAAAAGTTGCTCGGGGACCTCTCCCCAGTCCCACCCCTTCCGGAGCACGTCTTCCAGGGTATTTTCGGGGGGACCCAGGCGTCCTCACCTTGCACAACTGCACGAAGAGGTAGGTGACCCCGGCCTGCACACACTTCCAGAAGGCGTTGTACTCAGACCTGCAGGAGCGGGCGGTGAGGATTAGCCCGGGCCCGCGCCCTCCCGCCCGCGGACGCCCCGCACTCACAGGCCGCTGCACTTGTAGGTGATGAAGTAGGGGAAGTACGCCAGGGCGAAGCAGTTCCCGAAGTGGAACAGGGTCATGGCGCCGGCCGCCCGGGCCCGCCGGAGCGCGGGTCTCTGCCTCCGCCTGCCTGGCGCCCGAGCCTGGGCCCGCCGCCCACCTGCCTCCGCCGCGACCCGCGCGGCCTTCTGGGAGCCGGAGGCCAGTGGCGCCGGCGCACTGACGTCACGGCCCGCGGCCGGCCCCCGGAGCGGGCGGAGCCCCAGTGCGCCCGCGCTGAGCTAGGCTCGGAGGTGGGGCGCGGTGGCCGGCGGGCTCAGGTGGAGTGCGGTTAAGTGCCGGGCGTGCCGTGATCCCGTAGTGACCGGCGCAGAGACAGGGGTGCGGCTGTGACACACTGCGTTTTTATTTCTACAGCGGGGCGCCCTCCTTCCCCCGGGGAGGCGAGAGCGGGAACGGGAGGTAAGGGTTCCAGGGTCCGGAACCCGGGGAAGCGGAGGAAGGGCCATCCTGCTTCACTTGTTGCGGCTGAACATATAGCGGAGGAGATCCACCACCCGGTGGCTGTACCCGTATTCGTTGTCGTACCTGGGGAGGGAGGAGCCGGGTTGGTCATCCCTCCCGACCGCTCCTGGTCCGCCCCCCACGCCCCGGGATTCCTCTCCCCTCACCAGGAAATTAGCTTCACGAAGTTGTCGTTGAGCGCGATGCCGGCCTTAGCATCGAAGATGGACGAGTGGGTGTTGCCCACAAAGTCGGTGGAGACGACCTGGGCGTCCGAATTTCAAAGATAAGTGTGGGTCGCAGAGCAAGGCCTTCCAGGAGCCCAGGGTCTGACTCTTAGGTACATGGGCCATCCCTTCACCTACAAAATCTGGCGGAGCCCTGCTGTGCCCAGGTTCTGGGGATGGTGAGAGGAAGGCACGCAGGGACTTTGTCTGCAGCCAGAGGACGAAGACCACAGACCCCCTGTTGCTGCACCAGTACACATCACTTCCCGGCAGTGATGCAGGCCTTCACCGTTATGGGGGGCCAGCATAGAGGCCCTCTCTGAGGGCACACGGGGAGGCTGGGTCTGGATGTCTAGGAGCATCTAATCACCTCGGGCCCTCCACAGTGGCTGAGGTGGAAGGAGCTACAGCACAGAGGCTCTGAGGGTTTGGCCCTAGTGATGTGGTGTAAGGCCCCAGAGGAAAGTTGTCAGCAGCAGGAGGATGTGATCTGCTTTCCTTAAAACCAGAGATCCTGGTGGCTGTGTGAGAGGGGAGCTGTAGGAGTTAAAGCTGAGACAGCACCAGAGGTGGAGGTACAGGGATGGCACGGCTGCCAGCAAATGCACGGTGACATCCTTTCTTCACAGGGAAGGCCCCTGGCCATGGCCTGCCCTGAACAAGTGTTGAAAAAGAGGAGCCACTGTCTTGTTCACTAAGCTCACATTGAGCACCTGCTGGGGTGCCCTACCCTGGGACGATGGCTGGAGCCATGGAGTCCCAAAGTCCCTGCTTTCTTGTGCACATGCTAGCAGGGCCAACAGTGACTATGAAATGAAATTTCAGGTAAGGGAAAGGGCCAGAAAGAGACTATCTTACTGAGGACAGGGATTGAAATAGAGACTTGGAGGAGGTGAGGGCAGACTCTGTGGCCACCTGGAAGAAAAGCTACCCAGTCCAAAGCAACAGCAAGTGCAAAGACCCTGAGGCAGCAAGAGCAGACCTTCCCAGCCCTACAGTCCCTGTCTTGATACATTGTAGCAGCTCTTTGGCAAGTGGAAAATCACATTTTCTCCTCAGAGGGCTCCTCCCAGGGTTCCCCTCCTCAGCCCCTACCTCATCCTCAGTGTAGGCAAGGATGCCCACCATAGGCCCCTTGGCTGCTGCTTTTATGGCGTCTTTGATGGCCTCATACGAGGTAGGCTGGGCCAGGCGGCAAGTCAGGTCCACAACAGATACATCTGGGGTTGGCACCCGGAATGCCATTCCTGTCAGCTTCCTGGAGAATCCCACATTAGAGACGGGAGTCAACCCAGGACCTTTCCATCCATCCCACATCGTCTCTACTTTCCCCTCAACAGACGCTTCAGGGATTGGGAGCCAGTCCAGTCCTCCTGGGGTGTACCCCCACCCCTGGTTGCAGCTTTCTGCCCTCATACCCTTTGAGGTCTGGGATGACTTTGCCTACAGCCTTGGCAGCCCCTGTGGAGGCTGGGATGATGTTCTGATGGGCACCCCGTCCATCTCGCCAGGACTTCTTTGATGGCCCGTCCACCGTCTTCTGGGTGGCAGTGTAGGAATGAACTGTGGTCTTGGGGAAGAAGAAAGCCAAGTTGAGCCCTTCCTGCCTCTTTTTCTCAGGCCTGAGGTGGTGACCCAGGTGTGGAGGCTGGTGGGACCATCCCTACAGACCACAAGAGGGCCATGTGCAGGCCAGGGTCCAGCCTTGTCTGCAAGTTGCCCGGTGTTTTTTTTGTTTTTGTTTTTTTTTTTTTTTTTTAAGATTTTATTTATTTATTTGTCAGAGAGAGAGAGTGAGCAAGCACTGGTAGATGGAGGCAGAGGGAGAAGCAGGCTCCCTGCCAAGCAAGGAGCCCGATGTGGGACTCAATCCGAGGATGCTGGGATCATGACCCGAGCCGAAGGCAGCTGCTTAACCAACTGAGCCACCCAGGCATCCCAAGTTGCCCAACGTTTTAAGAGACTTCACCACTTCCTCCCAAAACTATCTCTCCCTGTTCACCCCACACACTAAGCAGTACTGGGAAGAAGAGGTAGAGTTTTTCTGCCACCCTCCTGCCTCAGGCCCTCTCCCCAACTTACCATCAGCCCTTCCACGATCCCGAATTGCTCATGGATGACCTTGGCAAGGGGGGCCAGGCAGTTGGTGGTGCAGGAGGCATTGCTGAAAGGGCGCGGGTGTGAGAGGGCACCATGAGGGGAGTCACAGAGCCAGCCCTGCACCCTCCCCTCCCTCCTGGCTGATGCACAGGGGCCTGGTTTTGTGGAAGTCAGGATAGGGATGAGAGGGGTCAATGGGGGTGCCCCAGAGGTATGGTTTGGGAGGCTCCCCAAGCATGTTCTCCAGGAGTCCTGCCGTTATAACAGCCAGTTTCAGGAAAATGTTAGCATGATGGCATTAAGGCTTTGGGAAGAGAGGTGTGAAGACAGCCCCAGGGGTCTACTGTGGGTGGGGGTGAAGAGGGTGAGGCTGGCATGTCTTCTGGGTGCCACCCACACTCTTGAGAATGTTGGCTGCCTGTTACCTGACAACTTTCATGGAGCCAGGATCATAGTCCTTCTCATTTACCCCCATGACAAATATGGGCGCATTGGGTGAGGGTGCAGAGATGACCACACGTGTGGCACCTGCGTCGATGTGGTCCTAGAGGAGCAGCACAGGTGTCAGGGGGGGCCCTTTGAGCACCACCTCCACGCCCCCTCCCACTGCCCAGCCCTGGGCACCTGTCCCCCACTTACTGAAGCTTCCTCTAAGGACAGGTACATGCCTGTGGACTCCACCACAAAGGGGTTCCCGACGGACTTCCAGGGAATGTCTCGGGGCTGCATGCTGTAGAGGGGTGGCGGTGCCTAAGTCAGTCTCTTTCTGCATGCCCTGGCCTTTGCAGTTGTGGCCTTCACTGTGCCAGAGGTCTTCACTGTGCTGGACACCTTCCTGCCTGGCCTGCAACCATCTCTTCCCCCCAAGCCCAACATCCTCACTGTCCCGATGTGGTCCACCCTGCTGGGCTCCCCTTCCATCACTGACTCCACCTTGCAGGCCAGTTTTGTTGACCATCCCTGCTGTGCCTGGGGACCAGCTGCCACCTTCCTTACTCAGGCCTCAACCCTTCGGGGGAACCATCCAGACTGCTCCCAGCCAGCTCAGGCCCATTCCTCCCGTGCTGCCCAGAATGCACCCCAGGAAGGTGAGGCCGGCTGGCTGCTTCTGATACCTGGCCCTGGCAACCTCCCCACGGCCCTCCTTGCCCCTCCTTACCACACGGCTCCCGCTGCCAGAGGCTGGGCAGCTCTCTGAAGACACACTGCATCCCAGAGAGCAGCTCCGGGGGGGAGGACTGAAGCCTGAGGCAGCCCCAGGGCCAGCAGTGGCTAGTGGTTTACATTAGAAAGGGAAAGGAGGGCCACCTGGGTGGTCAATTCTTGGTTGGGATCTCGGGATCTCAGGATCATGGATGGAACCCTGTGTCGGGCTCCCTCTCAGCCTAGAGTCTACTTGGATTTCTTTCTCCCTACCTCCTGCTTTCTCTCTCTCAAATAAATCAATCTTTAAAAAAAAAGATTTTGTTTCCTGTTTGAGAAGATCACATTTCTACTCGATATCAAATGTTTGTATTTGAAACATTAAACATCTACTAGATGTTGCCGTTTTCTACTTGGCTTTAGCCAGCAAGCGATGAATAAAGAAACCGTATACTGGTTTCTCCCCCTCACAGGGCTTATCCCAACAGTGGTGTTTTCTTCTGTGATGATTTGTTAACATCTGTCTTGTCCTCTAGACCACTCTACGCCACAGCCTGGCGGGTTTCAATCAACGTTTGTGGGTTTTGTTAACCATTCTACATGTTTACTGATCACCTGCCGCGTGCTCATGTTCTAAGTGCTCTTACCTGTATTGACCCCTTGAACCCTGGTAACCTGAGGAGTAAGTACCAATCCTGGCATTTCTCAGAGCCAGCCAGCCCCAGGGCAGGGAGGAGGGGAGAAGCTGGCACCCCAGAAGACCCCAGCCCCTTGTCTAGATTGTCCTGGGCCCTGCCCTTCTGCCCAGAGGGCTGGCTGGTTTGAAGATTGCGTTCATTCATTCTTAAGGAAGTACAGAGTCTACCCAGAGTCACGGCCTGTGTCTGTGATGGAGACGTGAAGCAAGGAGGGGGCCCTCCTGGCGATGAGGCTGTGGCTTTGCGGAGAGATGCCCTTCCTGGTGTCCCCACACACCTCTTACCTCCAACTGTGCTCCCTGCTCCCGCTCTGCGGGCTGTGATCATCATGCCCATCAGATGCCCTATGAAACAGGCTAGGGCAAGTTCAATCTCTTGCCCAAAGTCACCCAACTAGGAAGGGGTGAGGTGGGAGTAAAGCATGCAAGCAACCTGGCTTGTGCCAAGTGCCCAGAGAACATGGCCTAGGGGCTGAGCGGGGCAGATGGGAAACGCTGCTGGAGTCACCAGAGAGGGCAGCACCTGGTGCTGTTTGAGGGGACAGCTGTGTGGGGACCAGGAAGACAGGGAGAGTGCCCTGAGTGGCAGCAGTGCCAGGCCGAGTAAGGAAAGGACACGGGATGGCTGGACAGTGACTCCTCTGCTGGAACTGTGTTTGGTGTTAAGATTTCAAAGTTGGGTCGGGCAGCTTCTCATGGGCACCAAGTCTCCAGTCCCTGCCTCCACCCACCCTCCCACTCCCACACCCAGGGGCTGAGCACCCCAGCATAAGCTCTCCTGCCCGCAGGTACAAGCCCCGAGGCTGGGAGAGGCTGCATCCCAGGGCCCGTGCACGAAGCCAGAGCAAAGGGAAAATCTCATGCCGTGGAGGGGCCCACAGAGGCTGCTAATTCACAGTAGAAAGGGTATGGGGGCGCCTGGGTGGCTCAGTGGGTTAAAGGGTCTGCCTTTGGCTCAGGTCATGGTCTCAGGGTCCTGGGATGGAGCCCCGCATCGGGCTCTCTAATCAGCGGGGAACCTGCTTCCTCCTCTCTCTCTCTGCCTGCCTCTCTGACTATTTGTAATCTCTGTCTATCAAATAAACAAATGAAATCTTAAAAAAAAAAAAAAAGACAGCATGGACAGCTGGAGTGGTTGGGATGATGAGAAAAGGCAGTGGGGCAGCGCATAGTGCTGGGGCCCTCCCGTCCTTTGACGTTTGTAAAAGACCTCTGTGGCTGCTGAGTAGGAACCGAGTGGAAAGAGTTGGCTAGATGGCCGTGCCATTTCCTGGGGAGGGAGGTGATTAGGTTTGGGGGTTGAAGGAGACTCAGAAGTTGAGTGTTATACTTACTGAGCTGACACGCCTGTGAGGAAACATGTAGATGTGTGTTAAATAAAAAGTATTTTGAGTAGAGTGGGATACCTTTCTAGATTAGTGCTTTTTAACCATTTTAGGGGTCAGGGACTTCTCTGAGACCCCTCTCTGACCCAGGACCCAGAGGCATGCACACACACATTTTGGGGGGTTTTGGAGCCCACCTGAGAGGTTGGAATCCCGCTCCAGGCCCCCCCACGGCCCCGGCATTAATATGCCGCAGGCAGGCGCCATCCAGCTGTGCTTACCACTGGAAGACGCTGATCTCCTGCTTGTCTACCACCAGCTTTCCATTCCTGTACTCCACACTCCCCTTGTACTGGCCATGGGTGGAGTCATATTTAAACATGTACACCTGCGGGGGACAGGACGGCTCCCAGTCTTGGGTGGCAAGGGTGGAGGCGTGAGCATCCCTGGGGAGTCCCTACCTTGGTGAAGGTTCCACATGGCATCTGGGAAGCTCTCCTCCCCACCCCGTCCTACCTTTCCCGGGTCTCCGCCTTGCCCGCTGCTCACCATATATTCCGGGTCAATGAACGGATCGTTCACCGCCACCACCTTCACATCCTTCTCCATGCAGGCGCGGAGCACCAGGCGACCGATGCGTCCGAATCTGTTCAGGGACAAGGCTGGTGGGGTTGTGCTCAGAATCCTCACCGCCGGCAGGCAGAGGAGGGGATGGGAGAGAAAGGGATAATAGAGGAGGTGCGCTCTAGGGGGCTGGGCAGGACTTCTCAGTCTGGGGAAAGAAGGCAAAGTGTGGGCACTGTCCTCTCTTGCCCAGATGTCCTCTCCAGGCTCTTAACTGCTTTTCCTGCTTCCCTAGCCATCCATCGCTCCCTCGCATTCCTGACCTTGTAGCTGGATGGATCCTCTATAGAACTTCAGGTCAGGGTATGTCACTTGGCCTGAATACCTCTATGGCTCTCAATCAGTAAAACCAGATCCGGACTGCTTACCGTGGCTGCCAGGCCCCTGCCAGCTTCCCACCTCCCTTCCCCTTCCTCCTTTGCTTGCTCCACACACCGACTTCTTAGCGCACTGAGCCCAGAGCTGGCTGCCGCTGCGCTCCCCAGTCTCAATGTAACCGACTTCCACACTGTTCACAACATGCGTCACTGAACTGTCGTGTTCCTTCTTTCATTGCTGTCTTCCCTCTGGAATGTGAGCTCTCTGAGGGTGGAGCCCTTTTCCCTGTGTTTCCTAAGGGTGGGCAGAAGGCAGGCACTGACGGTGAGAAATGGGGAGATGTCCCAGGCAGCAACCAGAGGAAAGACTGGGCCCTAAGACTTCAGGCATGGCTCAGGCCGGGGCCAACTCACCCATTGATGCCCACTGTCAGCTTCTGAACCACAGAAGCCTTCTTAGGTTGAGGAGGTGGGGGTTCCTCCTTGACTGGCTCAGGCTCTGGCTCAGGCTGGGGCTCTGGCTCGGCTTCAGGCTGGGGCTCTGGCTCGGCTTCAGGCTGGGGCTCTGGCTTGGCTTCAACCTTGGGCTCCGGCGGGGGTGGTGCTCTGGTCACTGTTGGGGGTTGGACGGGGGGAATGAGCTGCGCCATCACGGTGGGAGAGAATGAACCATTTTGGCCACCCAGAACCCATTGCTGGCTCTTGGCCCCTGGCGGCTAACCATCTAGCTGTTTTCCCAAATACCTGATCTACACAATGAGCAGGGGGTGGGCTTGCTTTAAAATACCAATGCCAGGGGCGCCTGGGTGGCTCAGTGGGTTAAAGCTTCTGCCTTTGGCTCAGGTCATGGTCCCAGGTTCCTGGGATCGAGCCCCACATCGGGCTGTCTGCTCCGCAGGGAGCCTGCTTCCTCTTCTCTCTCTCTCTGCCTGCCTCTCTGCCTACTTGTGATCTCTGTCTGTCAAATAAATAAAATCTTAAAAAAAAAAATACCAATGCCAGGGCCCCTTCCCCAGAGAGTCTAACTCAGTGCACATGTCTTTTTAACAATTACTTGGGGTGATATTGTCTGTGCCTCAGTTTCCTCCTCTGTAAAAGGAAGATGATGGTACTTCTGAGAGTCACTCTGATGATGAAGGGAGGTGATGTAATGCTTATGAGAGTGTCTAGGAAAGAGTCCACTTACATGAGTATTTCAAAGATCGTTTCCCAAACTCATCTGATAATTGCTCTAATTCAGCACAGCACAAGCTGTTATGATAAGAACCCCAGGGTAGGCCTCTTCCCAGGGAAATCTGACTCAGAGGCCCAGGAATCCTGGTTCTAAAAGCACTCCAGATGATTCTTATCCTCAGAGTAGGAAATAGAGGTGAAATGGCTAGAAACCCACGCAGTGTCCACCTCTGCAAATGCACACACCCCCACTCCCATACTGTGTTTTGAAAATCCCCGTGCTCGGATGTGTGTGAGCCTGGCTGCTGATGAGGAGGAGAGGAGGGCAGATGTGGAGGCAGCAGTCGGGTCCGCAGAGGTTTCCAGCTGGGAATCAGGCCTGACTCTCATGCACTGCCCAGCCACCTGCCAGCTGTGTAGTCTTGAGCAAGTTAATGACCTCTCTGGCCTGTTTGCTGGGGCCACATCTGACCTTCTGCCTGGGGGCTACTGTGAGGACTCAGATCTCACCACCCAGTAGGTGCTGGCGTCAACAGAGGGAGGAAATTGCTACTAAGAGTATGTGTGAGGAAAGGAAGCGAGAAGAGGTTGGAGTGGGGCTGGAGGAGGAAGGTTGCCCTTGCTCTTGGCACCAGAGTCAAAGGCACTGGGAGAAGGTAGGCTGGAAGCCACAGGCCAGCTGGCCTGTGGGGCCCCCTGACCTCTAGGGGCTGCTGCAGACCATGTGGTCTGAACCTGGGCTGTGGGTTTCCTATGGCAATACCAGTTCCTAAAGGTATTATGAGTGTTTATTTGCGGCAATGACCCTGTGGTTTTGGTGACCCTAGAATGTTTGCATTCCTAGGGGTTCTGCTTCCACGATCACTAAAGGGGAAGATCTGTCCATGGGATTGAGTGGGAATCTGAGCCCACTCCTCTCGACCTTTCAAAAGAAAATTCGGGTGGTTCTCCTCTCCCATCTTCCCCCAGGCTTCCTCTCCTCCCCTCCTCTCCAGGGGTGGAGTGCCTGGGCTGGAAGAAAGCTGCTGCACTAGGAAGGAAGAGCCTGAAGGAGCTTCAGTGATGAAGCGTCACCTGGTAGGTGAAACAAGGACACGGGTGCGCGCTCTCCTAATTGGATGACGCTCGCACTTCCTGGGCGCCGCCACGGGCTAGGCAATGTGCGGAGCACTTGCGTGCACCAGCTCGCTGAGCGCTGTAAGGCGTGCGCTATAAACCACCTTATAGAGGGGAAATCGAGGCCCGAGGTCACAGAGCGAGTGCTGAGCAGGGAGGAGGTTCGAAGCCGGCAGCAGAGAACCTGTCCCGGCGGGCGCTGTTTCTTGGGGGGTCCCTCCCACTGCCCTGACCCTGGCGTCCCGCCCACCCCGGCCCCGCCCGCCAGTGCGGAGGCAGCGAGGCAACGCGTGTTGCCCTGCGGGCCGACCTGGGTTCATCCGGCTGGTGTGTGCGTGCAACTCTGGCTGGATGGGTAGGGCTGCCCAGTGGGGCCAAGCAGAGGACTCTCGAGTGTCAACTTTGCTATTCCGGTGCTGAGAGCCCTAGGGAGGCGACTTGCGCCCTCTTACCTCTATGGCCGCTCCGTGAGTGGCGACAGTAAACACATTGGCCTCCCCGGGGGGTTGTGAGGCTTCAGTGCGCGCACGCGTGGAAAGTGCTTGGCGCGGCCCCGGCAGGTTGCTAGCGCCCAAGAGGACAAAGCCCACCAACCCCCAAGCGGCCCTTTGGCGCTGGGCGACCGGAGCGTTCATCCCCAGAAACGCGCGCAGGGAGGCTCGGCTCCGGCCCCGATTCCACCCTTCCACCGCTTGCTAGCGGCGCCGAGGCAGGTGGGGACCCTCTTCCTGGCCCGCCACCATCGCTATAGAAACCACTCCACTGGCAGGGCAGGGATAGGGAGGGTGGGGCAGGAGAGCGGGAGGGAAGGGACGCCGCAGCCGGCCTCCTGCCCCCTCCCTCCTGCACACAGCGAGGTGGGCACGAGCGCCGCAGGGGCTCCCGACTGCCCTGTCTCCCCTTCCCTGAGGTCGCCCCGTTGCCTCCCTCACCCCGGCATGGCTGTCGCAGCAGCTGGACAACGGTGACATTGGTAAGGACGATGTCACGTTTCGACATGGTCTAAGGTTTCATGACCTAGGCGCCTGGGGACCACCGCGATGTTACTGCAGTGCGGGGGCGCCCGGGCGAGTGGGGCAAAAGCTTCTCGCCGTTACGTCACAGTGCCCAATGACGTCACAGAGGCGGAGGCGAAGCGCGTGATGAGCGCATGTCAAGCCCCACGGTCCCCAGGCCACCCCCGGCGTCCAGCATAGAATCCAGCTTTTCACACTGGGCTTCAAAGCCCTTTTCTCTCCCCCTTGCCTTCCTTCTCCCTGGCTCTGTGTTGCTCCTTGACCCTCCTCTTGATAGTTATCTACCCTAGCTGTTTTCTCTTGCCTGGAAAGCCCTGCCCAGTCCTTGCTCAGGACTCCTGGTTTCCCTCAGGTGCAGCCCTTTAAAAGCGGCCCTTCTAAATCCCCATGTAAAGTTCTCTCCTCCCTCAGTCACCATAGCCGTCACCCTCTCAACCCGCTCATCTTCCAGAAGCCTCCTCTGACTTTGCTTGCTGGGAGAGATGCTCCAGATACTCCACAGCTACCCTCTCTATATTTTTTGTTTTCCTCATAGCCTATGTCTCTCTCTCAAAATCGTCCTGTTTATACATTTTCTTGCCAGTTTTCTGCCCAACAGACTGTACACTCTCGGAGGGCAGACTGCTGGTCTAACTTCGCTTTTGTATCCCATTGGTTAGAAGGTTTGGCACCTGCGGGTGCCAGAATGCATATGTAAATATCACTGCCTCCCATTCCTTCTGACCCCCAATCTTTAAGTGACCTCTAAGCCAGATCCCCTCACTGCACCCCATTCTTCTCCTCAGGGCTTTTCACATAGCTTTGTCATAATCTAGTTACTGATTTACTTGTTCACTGTGTCCTGTTGTTCACCATGGGGCCTCCACCGCCACCTAGAACTCCGCCTGGCACAAAGCAGCTTCTGGGGAAGAATAGGGCAGGTGGCTCTTTCCTCTAACGCACTGGGGGTGGGCGCTCATTTGCACACCTCTGATTCACAGATAGGCGCCTTCACCTGCAGGGCTGGCTGACACAGCTGTGACCAAGATTTAAGGGGTGTAGGGGTTTGGGCTAGGAAGGAGTCATCATCCCAGACAGAGGTGTGGAAGCAAGAAGGGGCAGAATGACATAACCTCCTCCTTCCCTGAGTCTTCACGGGAACTCAGTTCGCCAAGCACCTGCAATGGGACAGGGTGAGGGCAAGGCTCTCCTCCTTGGATGGTCCAGGGAGGTGGAAATGAAAATAAATCCAGTGTACAGATGGGGAATTTCAATGACCCAAGGCCAAAATGCAGGTCTTAATTAAACAAAGGGGACAAATTTAACACATGTGATGGAGATTGGGTGGAGGCAGGGTGTGGAAGATCACACAAATAAAACCACGACTGAAAAGGGGTCAATTTTGTACAACTTTACAATAATAGATATGAGAAACTAGATGCAATTAAAATTTTTCTTATAAAATATAAAGGCTCAATCCTGCTTCAAACAGAAATGGCAAATCTCAGCAGGCAAATAACAAGAGAAGAACTGGAGCTACGATCTCTCCTCCCCAAGGTTGATTCAGATCCAGATGACTTTATCGGCAGGATTTGCCAAAGAGCATTGGAACAAATGTCTGCCAGCCAGTGGGAACTGGTGCAGATCCCAACCAGAGTAGGGAAGTCAGGTGGCAGCTCTGCAAGGTGAGGCTCTGGGCATGGCACGTGCTCTGAGGCCCCGAGGCCCCAGGGCCGCACAGACCCGCCTGCACTTTTCCTGGGTGTGCTCTGCAGTGCTCTGCGGGAGGGCTGTGACAATGGGCCATGGAAACCTCCTCCACTTGCTCTGGCAAAGCAGCAGGTTCATATTCCCCAAACCAGCGGAGGGCAGCAAAGAAGGGACAACTCCAGGCCAATCTCTTATGGGGACAGATGCCAAAGTTCTGAATCAATTAGTGGCAAATGGGAATGGGACCAGGAGGGATTGGGGCTGATGGAAGATGGTGGGATGGGCAGAGAGAGGGGTGGAAAGAGAAGATGGGAGTACATTTCAAAAGGAGAAACCCCACCTCTCCATCTCAGGGTGGACTGGGATTCTGCAGCTCACCGCCCACCCCCCCACCCTGCAATTTCCTGGCATGGGAAACTCCCTCATTTAGGCACTGGACAAGGGCAGAAGAGCCACGCCTGAGGTTGCCCAGGGATCTGGCTTTGTCCCTGGAGCGTGAAACTGGGAAACAGATTTAATGAGCTCAAGCTCGTTGAGATGGCCTGATTAGTCACCCTCTATAGGCAGTGCCTAGAAATGGCAGAAGCTCCTGGGTCTCTGGGCCTGGGTGTCCAGGACCCAGGGTGGAAGCGTGGGTCCTCCGAGGGGAGTGGGCCTGGTCACCCTTATTTGAGCAAAGCCTGAAACCACGTGCAGATTCTCACCCAACCCAGGCGCCCACACACATAACTCTGCCACCCCACCAGCTCACACCCTACACATTCCTTCCCACCAGCCTGCCTGCCCGCAATCCCACCTCCACCCCCTCTCTGTCTCTCCCCTTGGCACCAAAACCCAAATATCTTTCACCCCTGCACCCAACTTACCCACCCACTGGCTCTTGCCCTTCTGGTCTTGGCCTTCCTCTAAGCTAGCCCCAGATGGCTATGCTGCCACAGACCTCCCAGCCACCACCTGCCCTTCCTTCTGATGACCCTCTTCATGCCCAGGGTAGACTCTCAGCTGTTCCCCTCCAACCCGTGCCACCATGTCAATGCTTGGGGCTTTAGGTTGGGACTGAGGAGGCCCCAGGGGGAGGAGGGAAGGATGAGCCCCTGGCCTCCAGCCCAGGTTCTGGCTGACAGTCTCCTGCTGCTGCAGGTCTTCAGCCCCTCCCCGTGGCTGCCTCAACCGGCTTTTCAGGAGACACTGCGTCCTGTCCTAGCTCATGGCAATTGGTCCTCTGCCCTCGCCCAAGGGCTGGGAAGCGGGAGGCCAAGGTTCTGTTATGAGAATGTGTCCCAGCTCCAAAATCTATAAGCCTCCCTAAGGAGCCCCAGGCTTCTCTGGGGACCCAGGCACTCTTCTCTCCAGCACCCTCTGAGACTCAGGCTGAGGCTTGACTGGTCTTCTCTGGGCTTCCCTTAGCAATCATACTATGGGCACTTACATCGCATGCCTTTTGGGAGTGCTTCTTTTAATCCATCCATTTGTTCAATATATAAATATTTACTGAACCCCAGGCTATGTTCTAAAAATTGGGGATATAGCAGTGACCAACACAAAAGCCCTGTCCTCTGGAAGTTTACAATCCGATAGATGAGGCACACAGTATAAAAGATAATTTCGGATTGTGGTAAGTGCTTGTAAAAACAAAAGGATGATATCACCCAGTGTAACTGAGGGATGGCCAGGGAAGGGTTTTTCTGAGGTGACATTTGAGCCAAGAACAGAATAAGAAAGAACCCACAATGTAAAGATGTGAGTTCTACCTTCCATGCACATAGCATGTGCAAAGACCATGAGGCAGGAATGAGCCTGGTGTGTCTGAGAACCAAGGAGAAGAAGACCTGTGGGGCTGGGATGTGGTAAGCATAGCGGGGAGTCAATGAGAACAGAAAGAGCAAGGTCTGATGATGCCCTCAACTCCCCAGGAGTGCTCTTCCTCCCCTGACTGAGCACCCCCCCCCATCTTTCCAGACTCTTGCTGATGGGGAAACTGGATCCTTCGATCCCCTGAGAGGAGTGAAGAAGCAGGCCTGGGTCCTGGAGATGGGGGTGATTGAAGGTGGGGTTGGGAGAGAGGAGGCCTGGATAGTGGGTGAGGAATGAAAAGAGGAGGTGATTGGAAGGGCAGACATCTGGGCTTTGGGGTGGAGGGGCCTGAGCTGGGCAAGGAGCAGAGATGCCACGTGAGTGTTCTCCATTCATGACTCACCTTCACTTCCTCCTCCTCTTCGTTGCTCAACTCAAAGCTCCCTGGGAAATACCTCCCTGACTGGGGACCAAGTCAGTGCCTCACAGGGGTAATTGAGTCATGAGGGGTGGAGATGAGAGGGAGGTAGAGTATAAATAGCAGCTTTGCTTCCCTTGCACCTCTCTGCATCCTCCCTACCCTGCCAACAACATGCACCTTGCCAGTTTGGTCAGCTCCTGCTCCCTCCTACTGCTACTGGGGGCCCTTCCTGGATGGGCAGCCAATGATGACCCCATTGAGAAGGTCATTGAAGGAATCAACCGAGGGCTGAGCAATGCAGAGAGAGAGGTGGGCAAGGCCCTGGAAGGCATCAATAATGGAATCACTCACGCTGGAAGGGAAGTGGAGAAAGTTTTTAATGGACTTAGCCACATGGGGAGCCAGGCCGGCAAGGAACTGGACAAAGGCGTCCAGGGGCTCAACAACGGCTTGGACAAGGTAGCCCATGGGATCAACAATGGCGTCGGACAAGCAGGAAAGGAGGCAGAGAAGTTTGCCCATGGGGTCAACCACGCTGCTGGACAGGTTGGGAAGGAGGCAGACAAAGTGATTCAGGGGGTCCATCATGGGGTGAACCAGGCGGGAAGTGAAGCAGGGAGGTTTGGCCAGGGGGTCCACCATGCTGCTGGGCAGGCTGTGAATGGGGCAGAGAAGTTTGGTCAGGGGATCCATCATGGGGTGAACCAGGCGGGAAGTGAGGCAGGGAGATTTGGCCAGGGGGTCCCATCATGGGGTGAACCAGGCTGGGAAGGAGGCAGAGAAGTTTGGCCATGGGATCCATCATGGGGTGAACCAGGCTGGGAAGGAGGCAGAGAAGTTTGGCCATGGGATCCATCATGGGGTGAACCAGGCTGGGAACGAGGCAGAGAAGTTTGGCCATGGGATCCATCATGGGGTGAACCAGGCTGGGAAGGAGGCAGAGAAGTTTGGTCAGGGGGTCCATCATGGGGTGAACCAGGCGGGAAGTGAGGCAGGGAGGTTTGGCCAAGGGGTCCACCATGCTGCTGGGCAGGCTGGGAATGAGGCAGAGAAATTTGGTCAGGGGGTCCATCATGGGGTGAACCAGGCTGGGAAGGAGGCAGAGAAGTTTGGTCAGGGGGTCCATCATGGGGTGAACCAGGCTGGGAAGGAGGCAGAGAAGTTTGGTCAGGGGATCCACCATGCTGGTGGGCAGGTTGGAAAAGAGGGAGAAAAAATAATCCAAGGGGTCCATCATGGGGTTAACCAAGCTGGGAAAGAGGTGGAGAAATTTGGCCAGGGGATCCACCATGCTGCTGGGCAGGCTGGGAAGGAGGGAGACAAAATAGTCCAAGGGGTCCACCATGCGGTTAACCAGGCTGGGAAGGAGGTGGAAAAGTTTGGCCATGATGTTAATTATGCTGCAGGGCAGGCTGGGGCAGAGGGAGACAAAATAGTCCAGGGGATCCATCCTGGGGTCAACCAGGCTGGGAAGGAGGTGGAACACGTTGGCCAGGGAGTTCACCATGCCGTTGAACAGGCTGGAAAGGAGGCAGACAAGGTGGTCCAAGGGGTCCACGATGGGGTCAACCAGGCCGGGAAGGAGGCAGAGAAGTTTGGCCAAGGGGTCAACCACGCTGCTGGCCAGGCTGGAAAGGAAGCGGAGAAACTTGGCCAAGGTGTCCACCATGCTGCTGGCCAGGCCGGGAAGGAGGTGGACAGGTTGCAGCAGAATGTTCATAATGGGGTCAACCAAGCCGGCAAGGAGGCCAACCAGCTGCTGAATGTAGGTGAACAGAGGTGGGAAAATGGGGAGAAGGGGCTGGGGGAGGGAGAGGTTAAGCCCCTGGGACATTTGGGTTGTCCATGTAGGCTTCATTCCGTGAAAGAAGCTTGGGGAGCTCTATGACCACATTCTCGTCTTTCCTCTCCATCTCCTCACAAAGGAGCTGGTGCTCAGCCGGTCAGATGGATCAAACCATCTCGTCCGCAAAGCTCTAGATCAGACAGCGAGAACCTTCACACTTCAGGGAGCTGCCCTCCTAGTTAAGGAGGTGTAAAGAGAGGAACATGAAGCCTCTCCTGGGGAACAGGAAACGATTACTGAGTCAAGATCTTGCGCAGTACAAACAGAGTGAGTGTTGAGAAAATCCAGAGCATCAGAGTAAGCATGAGGAATGGCTCTGGGAGATAAGCCCTGTTTGTTTTAATTTTCATAACAAGCCTCTGAGGTAGTCAGGGTGAGGAGGCTGACTCCCTGATTCTCAGATAAGGAGACAGAAGCTCAGTGAGGTTTTAAGGGGATTTGCCAAGGTCAGGTGGCTAGTGCGCAGGTCTGGCGAATCATAGGTCAGGGTTCTTTCTCTTCCCCTATACTGCCCCTTCGGGGGTAGGTCTCCTGGAGGATTTCTGTAGAGGAAACATTTCTGTAAAGGGAACAAATACTGGAGGCCAGCGGGGAGCAAGGGTCACAGCGGACCAGGCTGGGGGCTTGGGGAATAGGAGAAGGCTGACCTCTGCCTGCCTCAGTCCCCACTCTCCAATCTCAATGAGGAGTCTTTGGGACACCATCTTGAAGACCAGCCCAGACCTGGAAGCTGATAGCCACATGGGCTGCAGGCAGGGACCCAGGGATGGGTGAGTGGGGAGGCAGGGACTCCATAGAAAGTGTGCCCAGTAGAGGAGTGGGCAGTCTTCACTGGGAAGGGGTCAGGAGGGGGAGGTTTGTTATGGGATTCAGAGCTGGCCACAGCAGCAGCAGAGGCATGGCTGAGTATCTGGGTGTAAAACGAGGACAGGGATCAACCGATGTTAGGGACCAGGCCAGAGGGCATACAGAAGGGTAGAGCTGAGGTCGGGGGTGAGGTTAAACTATGGTCCTAGGATTTGCGTGGGTCCCCTGGGTTCCCTTTCCAGTTTCCAGTCAGGCCCTTCTCAGCGACTGAGGGCATTTCATTCACTGACATAAAAGGGAATTGGGGGAAGATTAGTCAGTAGGGGCAGACATCCTTCCAGGATTTTCTTTCCATCTCACAGAATTCCCACAGCGACATGGGCTTTGGGTTTCTTTCTGCATAATGAGGGGGTAGAGGGTTAGCCTCTGCCTCCACCCTGGCCCCAGTCACCCTAGAGGATGGCAGGTCACCAGGGAAGAGGAACCCTCAAGGGATTTAAGAGGGGAAAGAGAGCCTCAAGGGCTGGGGCGGGGTTATAATGACAGTCTGGGCTTCTTCCGCAGGGCGCTCATCCAGGCGTTTCCACCGGCCAGCACGGAGGGGCCGCAACCACAACAGCAACATCTGGAGTAAGTCTCCCAAGCACAGCCAGGACTCGGTGGGGGGAGGGGAGCCCTCCTAGGATGGGGGGATGGATGAGGGTGACCAACCCTCTCGTTCTTGAATTCCAGGCTTCGGTCAACAAGCCCTTCATCAACTTTCCAGCTCTGTGGAAGGTGAGTGCCCAGGAGGTTTTAACTTTCTGCTTCTTGTCTCTGGAGATGGTCTCACACTCCCTTCCCTCTGCGTGTTCATGGACAACTTCGTTGGGGAGAGACTCTTGGCCTTGCAGAAACCCTCCAACCTGTTTCCCAGCTCTGGCCTTCCCCGTTCTTTGTCCCGGACACCCTGCTTTCCTCTTCTGCCTGCTTCCCGTCCCTGCTGAGGCAGATGCAAGCTGGCGAACAGACCCCCAGGGGCCAGGGAGGGAGGCGCTGCTGCACCCATCCCTCTGTGTGCCCGCCACGTCTCATCATCTCCCCCCCCCACCCCACCCCTCACCGAGTCTCTCCCTACCTCAACCCACTATGAGGCCCTCGGCTGCCTTACAGCAGTAGGCTGGGGTAGGAACCTGAGGCTCTGGGCTTCTTCTGGCTCACAGGACCCTGCAGTAGAAAGCCTCCTGGGGAACCCTGGTCCCTACTCTGGGCCCAAAGCAAAGTCCTAGTTTTGCATTTATCTCTTTGCATGTAGCATATGGCAGAGGACGACGGTGTGGAACAGCTCAGTGGACTGTGCCCTGAACCCAAAGGCACAGCCTTGTTTATTCCTGGGCTAGGGGGTTGCCAGGGGACCCTTGGAGGCAAAACAGACAAGGCTTCTTGGCTCCTCCACAGGCCCCTGACACTCTCCTAAGACATTCCGCAGAATATAAGCAATTTCTAGGTCTGAGAAGCTCATGTCGATGTCCCCCTCATTTCTCTCGCGGACGTGAGGGCAGAGGTCTGGGTCCCCTCAGGGCTGTGTTTCCTGCATTCATTCCCTCTCTCCTCTCTTCCAGAGCGTCGCCAACATCATTCCCTAAACTGACGCACTGGCCTCACTCAGCAGACAGCCATTCCTGTTATCATACTAGCTGAAATGACCCGGAGGAGCTGGGGTTGGGGGGGTGGGGGTGGGGGTGGGCAGATTTCCTAAGTCCTAGAAGGGGGCTGTACTGGGATTTGTGAATAAATATGACACGTTATACTCTCATCATGGTCCCCTGTGCTCCCCGAGGAGGGGTGGATGGGGGGAGGCTACTCTTTCCTTGCTATTTTGCGGAAGGAGCTGGATGCTGATGCACAGGGGTGCTGAGCTGGAGACTTCAGGCAGGTCAGATGTAAGAGGGTGTTCACAGGGACAAGCCAGGCTTCGCTAGCGGTCAAAATCCATGCGTGCTTGGCACTAAGGGAGCATCTGTGCAGAGAAGGCCACCTTAGGCCAGCAGTGGGGGCGAAGCACTAGCGAAGAGAATGGCCGGAACCTAGGTGGAGCCCAAGGGGGTAGCATCCTTGTTGGGGGGGGGTGTGGCACGAAAGGAATAACAATGGTAACTTGTGTTTATTGTGCAATGCTGGGCTCCCTGCTGGGTGCTTTCTATGCATGACATCACTGAATCCTCCCAATCCCCTGGTTAAGTAGGAGGTTCTGTTATTGCCCCTTTTACAGAGAAGCACATGGAGGTTCCCGCAGGTTAAGAAACATGACCAAGGTCACATAGTCAGGAAGAGGAGGACAAGTGACTTAAGAGCTACAAAACATACTCTGAAAATACAGTCTTTTCCTGTTTGGCATCAAGTAGTGGGGAACCGTGCAGAGAGGAGAGGAAAGGGATGCGTGTGGGAGGTCCTTGCACGGGAGAAGCACCAAAGGCTCAGGAGGAAGGCACCCTGGTGACAGGAGGGCGGGCCTCTTTACAACGACAAGAATGGGGACACAGAAGGCCTGGTTTTCAGATGTGTGATAGCTGAGACTGTTCACTAAGCACTAGCTAGCTTCCAGGACTGTGTGAAGAGCTAAAACCATTTAAGCCTCCCACAACCCAAAGGCTTGAAGTCCTCTTGTGATCCCCATTGTATGGATGGGGAAACAGGCTTAGAGGGGTCAGGGTCCTGGCAGTCCACTGCCAGAACCTGACCTTTCACAGTTGCCTAAAAAGTCTCTAGAAGGTTTGCCTTGTACTGGCCTGGGTGCGGGGAGATGTGCCTTCCTAGTAGGACCATGTACCTGTGGGCAGCTCCCTTCCCTTCTGGGGGCCACAATTTCCTTCTATATTTGGGGGGGGGGTTGTGTCTGCAGAGAAGGGACAACAAACACGACTTCCAGCACCAAAATTCCATCAGTTGTGGGACCAAAAATAAAAGACCAAAAATTGCCCTTGGGGAATTTACAGGCTCCCTGTGGATAGAAGGCACATAAACAGAATATGAAAACAAATACGAAGCAATGCATCAGTAAGAACTAGATGCCACCAGGAAGGGTCTGGGGGGGGGGACGCTGTGTGTGTACAATAAAGGTGACGTCCCCGCCACTTCATGGTCACTGCCTTTTTCCTGATTTGTAGACTATCATCATTTTTATGACCTGTGGTCCTTTCCTTCCCTTATGATATTTTAATTTGAAAATGCTGCAAACGCATCATAAAGATGAGTTTCATAGTGAATACCTATGTAGCCACCACTCATAGTCTACCATGAACATTTTACTCTCCTTGCTTTATCACACATCCGTCTGTCACATATCTATACATCTAACCACGCATCAATACATTTTTGATGTGTTTCAAAGTAAATGGCAATCACCTATTTGCCAGTTTTCAAGTGTAAAAGAGGCATGGATCACTTCTGCCTTGAGGTCCGGTGTGTCCCTCCCTCTGCCAGGAATATTCCCCCATGTCCCTCTTGTGCCCTGCGCTGGCGCCTCCTGACCCTGCTGGTGTTGACAGTACCTGTCCTGGAGCTGAGCTTCAAATCCTGACTTCTCCCCTTTCTAGTTGTGATCTTAACCTTGACCACACCACCTGAACAGAGGGCCGCCTTTGCTACTCTCTGGCCTGGCACACTGATCTTTTTATTCATGGCACTTCTGACGATGTGTAATTAGGTATTTACTCATTTAACGTCCATTTACCCCCTAGACTAACACGTTCAAGAGGAGAGGTCGAGGCCAGGCACAGATGGCCGGCAGCTAACAGGGGGGAGTCTGCTGCCTTGTGCGGACTTGGTTTCCCCTTTGGCATGGAGTAAGTGGGAGCAGGAAGCGGGCACCTGAGACAGACAGGCAGAGGCAGGCTAGGGGTGAGGAGAGGAGGGGCCGGTTTGTGCAGAAGTGGAAGAACAGGGAGGGGAGTTGGGGCGGGACCCTCACAGCCCTCTTTTATTGCGGCTGACTACGTCTGTGCCGAGTACTTTCAGACATGATTCATTCCACCTGCCCAAGCTCCCCGTGAGGCAGGCACCATGACGGTCCCCCTCCCAGACTGAGGACGCCCAGCTAGTGAGTGGTGATGGCCCCGGCTCCTCCTAGTCACGAGCACTTCCCTGCTGCTGGTCCCTGCTGCTGGTCTCTGCTGCTGGCCTGCCTCCCTGAGACCCTTGGGGGAGTGAGAAGGAGCTACTTCAAAATAAGTCCTCTTTAAAATTAAGTTTCTGCCTTCAGGAGGTACGTGCATGCCTGTGTATGTGTCTCATAATTAAACTGCAAAAAACCACTCCAACAATCCCAACATGTCCACCACTAGCAAGAATACAGAGCGCGTGCACAGGAGTGTGCCAGACACCATTCTGAGCACCCCGCCAGGACTCCCTCCCTTCACCCTCGCATTCCTGCCTCTGACAGTCAAGGAAACTGCTGCACAGGTTAAGATCACAGCTAGTAACGGGAGGAATCAGGATTTGAAGCTGGGCTCCAGGACAGGTACTGCGCACAGGTGGATCAGCAGATGCCAGCTGGAAGCTCAGGACACCATGGAGGGGAGCAGAGACAGCACCCAGACCCAAAGCCTCATCTCCTTTCTCTGCTCGAGTCCAGCCTCTGTCCTCCCCCACTGAACCCTCCTCCCTGGTCTCTGTACCCACCTCCTGCCCCTTGCCCCCAGTCTGTTCCTCAGAGGGACCCTGTTAACACTGAGTCAGACAACAGCCCTCCTCCATCAAAACCCACCACTCTTTCTACCTCATTCGGAGTAAGAGTCCGAGTCCTCACAATGGCCCCAAATCCTCCTATCTGGGCCCGTTTCTCTTTGACTTCAACACTTCCCATTTCCCCCCCTGCTCCAGTCAGTGGTCCTCAAATAGAGTAAGTAGTTCCCTGCCCCAGGGCCTTTGCACTGCTGTCCCTCTGCTTGGGATACTCTATCCCCAGACATCCTTATGGCTCACTCTCCTGCTTCCTTTGGGTGTCAATTCATAAGTCACATCTCAAAGAGCCTTTCCTGATTGCCTGATTTAAAATACTCACTGTATTTTTCATTAGTGCTCACCACCTGCTATGTTAATTGTCCAACATCCTCACAGTGAATGTGAGCTCCCTAAGGGGAGAGATTTAGATGATCTCCCACGCTGTATCCCCTGTGCCTAGAACAGGGTGTGACACACAGAAGGTACTCAATAAATACTTAGCAGAATGAATGAATTAGTGACTTAGGAATGCTGAAATCAGAGGGTCTTGGATGTGAGGTCACGCAGGTCAGATTTGTGGATGCCATTAGGTACAGGCACAAAGGAGCCATGGGGATGAGGTAGGAAAAGCTGGTTGGAGTCAGACAGACCTGGGTCATATTCGGACACCACCATTTTACCACCATATTTTCAAAATACCTCTTATATGTGTATTGACCAGCCCTGGGCCTTAGTTACCTCACCTGCAAAATGGGAATATCTACTCCCCCTGCCCCGAGGTTGTTGTAAGGATTAAATGAGATCATGCATATGGAAGCACTTAGCCTTCTATTTGGTTCACAATAGGCATTTCATAAATATGCCTGCAGACCGCAAGAGGTGACCTCTCGGGTCCGGAGATGTCTGAGGGCAGTTTCCCCCAGAAGGCAGAACATGGGAGCACGGGGGAGAATCCAGCTGGTTCAGGAACATGGCTTTGAGTAAGCCTGAATTACTCAGTGAGAGCCCTGCCCTTTTCTCAATTTTCCCTCAAGCTTTCTGTTTGTGTTAGAGAGGAAGACTCAAGTTCTGTGCTCCTGTGCCTTGACTACCTCCCTCATACTTGCCAATCTCCTTTTTTAACACAGGAGCCACGGCCAGCTCTCGTGTAACACCGCTGTGTACTTCTCACTATGTTTTCTGTTACTTTCTATTTGTGGACAAGTGATCATGGCTTTCTGTTTACAGTAGCAACGTAAAATATACTTAAGAAAGTAAGCTGGCTTAAAGAAAAATATTAATAACAGAGATGGGTCAGGAGGCAGATATACACCACGGTGAAGGCGGTGGCCCATGAGGGAAGTGTGGGAAGGAGTCTCTGAGGCAGGGAGCGTTCTACCCCCAGCCCCGTGGTCCTGTCCTTGGACGCGGAAGCAGCTGGCTCAGGGGCTGAGGTGTCCATCAGCAATCCAGAGGCCTCAGATTTACTCCTGGCCCCTGTCCCCAGCCTTCCATTAGGCCCCAGGGCAAAACCACCACCAATTCCATCCAGAGAAGAATGAAGGCTTGACAAGCAGTGGGAGGTCTGAGACAGAGGATGACAGAACGTGCTGGGAGCAGAGTTTAGAAGTAGGGCAGGCCTGGGCTTGGCTTTGGCTCTACCACACACCACCATTCCCCTCTGAGCCCCAAATTCTCTGTCTCTAAATGGGGTAATTCTAAGACTATCTCTCAGGGCTGTGTGAGCCTTAAAGTGTTTAGTCCGGCACTGGCACCCAGAGCCATGGATAGACTGGAGCCGCAGTGACAATTACGGTGATGATTACCACTACCACCATTATCACTCTCATTAAAGGAAGGTAGAATAACAAGGAGGTGGGAGGCGCCCAGGACAGACAGGGATTGTGTTTACGCGGTGAGAAGTGGGGGATAGTACAAGCTGGGGTGCGGGTGCTGGGGTGGAGAGAGACT